AAAAAGCCTCATAGCAGTTATCACACATTATATTTTTTCCACAATTTACAACAATCTATTTTTATTCACTTTATTATGGGAATTCCTACAAAAAGTAGATAATTTTCTTTGAGTTCACTAGATATTTTGTATCTATAACCTGAGCCCCACAAGTCCAATTTGCCCTTGCCCTAAATACTGCTCTCATATCTGAGTAGCTCTCACTCAAATTCTTGATGTAGTTTTCTTTGCTTCTTGAACCATTAACCTTTCACTCCCCAAAAGTGCAATCTTTACATCATGATCTCAAGAATTTGCAACTTGTAGAGAGTAAATCACAGTAACGCAACCAACATACGAGAATAAAGTGATGACGTTTTGGTCTATTCTTGACCCTAGATCCAGGATGAGGTTGAAACCTCCCTGGGAGGGGAAAGCTGCGCAACGGATCACCCAGATCCCTCATGCTGGCCATCCAACCCCAGTTCAACCCCATTAAGTGACATCAGGGCAGTGAGGAAGTGAGTGGCACCAGGGCAGTGAGGAAGTGAGTGGCATCAGGGCAGTGTGGAAGTGAGTGGCACCAGGGCAGTGAGGAAGTGAGTGGCACCAGGGCAGTGAGGAAGTGAGTGGCACCAGGGCAGTGAGGAAAATGTCCCAGCAAAGCAAACTAGAAGGGAATGGGGAGCAGTAGTGCGAGTGTTAAACTATTAACTCCTGCTAGTTTTTTGGTCCGTCTCTAAACCATTTGTGCCTGATGCATCAAATTATTTGGTCTTTTATTTGGTAATTTTGCTGTTGAAGCTGTAGATAGAGGAGGATTACAAGACCACTTCTCTTTAAGCATTTTCCTTATTGACCCCCCCCCACCACACAGTATGAACGTTTTCTAACTTCTCTCCCCCTCATTTACATTTCCAGCTTCCACCCTTGTGCTCTTGCCCCAATTTTCCCATATTTAAAACTAAACTGTCCTTGACTACCTGTCAAAAACTGTTTATTCTCCATAAATTTTTGTACATACTGTATAATGATCATATCCCTTGTGACTGATCTCCGAAAGCGAGTTCTTATACTCGGCACTCATAACCTATTTTTGTGTCTTAGACTTTTCGGTACTAGCCTTGATTTTCTAACTAGCTAAACTTGTTAGATTTTTCTAACTAGATAAAACTAGCAAACTTTTTCAATCTTTCTGGATAAACCCACAGTGGATATCCATACCTTAAGCACCTGCCCTGTTATGGGCATACTAAATATGCTAGGCTCCAATGTATACCTCTACATACCTTGGACAAGGACCTATTTGAGACCCCCTTACCCCCTTCAATGGGGGTCTGCAACATGTAGAGATGTCAACGCGCAGTCATAGTAGTGTTTTGCAGTTTAAATCTGCCGAGTTGATTTTTTATACCAATGTGATTCTTGACAGGGCACAGTGGCCTTAAAATGGTCCTTGATCATTTGGAGTAACTATGACTCTCTTAAGGTAGCCAAATGCCTTGTCATCTAATTACTGACGCGCATTAATGGATTAACGAGATTCCCACTGTCCCTATCTACTATCTAGCAAACCCACAGGCAGGGGAATGGGCCTGCATTAAACAGCGGGGAAAGAAGACCCTGTTGAGGTTGACTCTAGTCTATATAAGGGACTATATCTAGTCTATACCAATGTTGAGCTTGACTCTAGGTGGATCAATATCATCACAGGGTGACAGTATTTTTCAGACTCTCTCTAATGTGCTGATGACATAAGCTAAGAGAAATTACAGAGGAAACGACTCTTAAAAGGGGGCATTTCATTACATTCAAAGCTATTTAGTGCTTCCATGAGTCTTCTAGGACTGGAGGTGGACTAAGACAGTTTGGAAGTGGAGCTGAAGGTACCGATAAACTTGCAGCTGTGCAGTAAAAACAGCATCAGTTTAGTGTGAAGGTCCTAACATGCAGAGGGCAGTGCACCGAGACTCAAACAAGACACAAACTATCACCGAGAAAAAGGGGAAGACTCAAACTGTTCCACATGAATATAATTTGTATAATTATTCTTACTAATTTACACACAAGATATGTTTTACTGTTGAAAGAAAGATCATCACTTTCTATCTAGCTACCTATAAATTATTACCATATTTTGATAAAGTGAAATTACAATACACACTGTACTATACTTTAATACAAAAATCTCAATATTCCAGTACCCTTGAGACAAATTTTTTCCTTGATAACTTACATTTCCAAAGTACTGTACATACAGTATTATACACTTTTTTTTAAGGATTTTACTGAACTGAACTTCCACAAATTTGCCCTCGCTTTCATTTTTGAAATGTATAACGCAGACAAAGGTACTGGAAGACTAAAGTCATCCACAAAGAAATATTCGTAAATCATCTTTGAGTCTCTCTATCGTTATTTATTACTCGTAAAACATTTATTAACACAGTACTGTAGAGTATAATCTCAATACGTAATATTGAGACCTATAATTAATGCTATAATTATAGCATTAATGCTATAATTAATTATCATGCCGTGTGCTATCATTTCTGGAGTATCTTTCTCTCCAGAATCAGAAATGTATGCTTTCTTATGTGTTAAACACTAGTAGTGATGAAGCCTCTGACTTTCACACCCAATCTTGTTAAACTGTTTCAATCAATTTAGCCTTTTCTTTAATATACAGTACTGTAATAAGATGCTCCTTCTCTATCCCCTGCCTGACTTAGTCCAATTAATCCTTCTGGCAAACATTTTTATAGTAACAAATAATTAAATATCTAAAGAAAATGGTATCACTAGGAGTAAAAGCAGTAAAAAAAAAAAACAAGACTTTTCCATTTGCACATTTTTAGCAACCTAAAAAAATTGCAAACAAATTCTCACACATTCCAGACAGTTGGAGTATTTAGGAATGGTCACATTAATTTGTTTTTCTATATCTGTGAGGACAGGAAATGTTTTCTGTATTCCTCCTATTTCAGATACTGCATATCTCCTTTCATTAAAGTGGATAGGCATGATAAAATAACCATTTTGATAAGTAAGAGCACTTTGGTGTTACCACATATTTTAACAACCCTTTACATGCCACTTCCATTCTACGAGGAAATCAGATCACTTTTTCATATTTAAATGACTATTATTTTAATTATCTATTAATTATTAGACTATTATTAATTATCCTTCTACACTCGCATCTGGAATTATTTTAATGCTCACCAGCCTCCCCCCCCCCTCCACCAGTTTTATTCAGATCATCAAAGCAAACAGTTTAGTAATATTTGAGCATAACATATTAATAATACTAATTATACTTATTTAAGGATTTTTAACACCTGCTAGACAGATGATTTTTCATATTTTAATTACCAAATACACTATTCCGATACGTATTATCAACTTGTGCCGAGGAACTTTAGTTGCCAAAGTACTGTGGTAGACAAATGAGCTTCCACTATTTTAAATATCACTGTGTATCATTCGAATTAAATTTACCAGATTTATTAATTCAAGTGACTGTTTAGGCCACCAACTTCTTGTTACAAGCAGTTCCAAAACATTATTTAATTTAGATCACCAATTATTACTACTGTTACGAGTATTATTGAAGGTGAATAAAAGACCCAAATATATGTTTTAAGTGTATTAAGATACAAATTTTTGGATGTAACTTACATCTTTTCTCAAGGGAGTATGCATTGTATGCAGTACCTTCAGAAAGGATATAGATTATATCCAAAAATTTTGTATATAATAAACACATATATTGGATCTTTCCATCACCTTCTTTCAAGCACTATGGCATTGTAGAAAATTTCACCAGTTTGATTGTTATTATTCATTTATACTGCCATTCTATATGTACAATAAGGTAAAAAGAAAGTGATGAATCTTTCAATAGATATCAAGGTTAAAAACCTGTGTCCCTGAAGAGTTAAAGGACACAGGTTGCATTCCACCACACAGCCTCAATATTTACTGTTTCATACAGAAAGTGTATAATTAACTTTATTTTTTGGTGGTGATGCAGAACGTGCCTCTAGAAGTGTGGGCAGAACACAATGCATGTACCCGTGTGGAAGTAGCAAGGGGGGGCAATCAGGGAATCAGTTTCATTTGTTATTTTATTTATTTTAAGTTATTTACATTCAACTTAACTAGGTTCCATTCATCCAAATGCAATGCAGCAAAAAACAATTACACAATTCTAGAAATTAAAATGTCTGCACATTATTTTTTGCAGAAAATTTCTAGCTGAAGGGGGCTTTTTAGCATGTTGGTGGCTTCTCCCTCATAGGCAATTACTGTTTTTGCTTGTGCTTTAAAGTGCATATTACTCTACACCGTTTGCTCAACAAGTACTTCACAAATTGATACTTTATGCACCCATGACAAACTTCATTTGTGTGTGCATAATTATACATTTGCGTCTCTCATAAATGTATCATTCTGAGCGGCATTAAATTATAATTCTGAAAGAACTCGGTAAAAAACGATACCAGTGCCCAAGAATTTTTATAGGAAGAAATATAATATAGAAAGGTGTATGGAGGATCGTCAATTTTAGCATGGACACATAATGTCATAGAAACAGTGAGGCTGTATATACATAGTTATATACACAAAAATAGGTCATGGTTTAATAAAAAACCAAAGAATGGTTAGGTGGTGGTGCTGAATAGCATACACAGATGTATGAATCTGTGAGGCTACAAACTGAGATTACATATTGAATATTTAACTTAAATCAATAAGTTATAATAAGCATGCCATGAGCTGAAGCCAAAGTCCAGGAGACAAGCACACGAGACCCAGTAAAACTACTACTGGTAAGAAGCCTCGTCTGAGGAGGCCTACAAGCATTAGGTAACTTTTCCATTCCACCAGAGTACACAAGAGGGACAAGCAGGAAGCGGTGCACTATAATAATGCACTGGTCATGCTGCAAGCTCAGAAGCATCCTGAAACAGCAAGCTTGATCAAGACGATCAAAAGAAAACAGTGATCCAACTTACAGGTGCTGTCACTTTCTGCTACCCTCAGCTAGACAATGGTAAAGATTGCTGAAAGGAAACGAAGGTAAAATACATTTAGACTCATAATCACAAACTAAAAAGATTCATATAAAGTAAATTTAATATTTATTTAGTAACTAATCTACAGTATAGGATAAAAACCCTATATTTTTGTATTTTATGTCAAGATTTGAACTACACAGTCTTTTGCACTCTCATAAGTGTGGGGTTTGACCCTATGTTATTATCTCTATGATAAGACATTACCATTATGGAATGTCACATCATATGGTATGTATAATTTATGGTATGTCACACCAACACAAAAATTCAATATCTGCATATTGTTGCCAAAATTGTAATATTGCATGTTGTAATACTGCCCTCTCAAGGAGGGTTCTCGAAGACTGAGGTATCTGAAACACTGACAAATACTGCTATCAAATAAAGAGAGATTTACTATCACCACCACCATGTCATAAATGGTTTAAGTGAAGCTCAGCATAGCAGCAAAACTCTGCAAAATTAAAAATATATATACCTTCAACAGGACACAAAGATAACCTGTCATCTGGCAGTAAAAATACAGTACTCTATCAACAATTGTTTGACGAGACTTGATAAGACTCAAAATAACAGGATTTAAGTTGCTGTAAAAAGATATTCAAAAAGCATAAATGTGTGAATAAGATTTCCATCACAAATAGACATTTCTATTAATATGAAAAAATCTTATCGAAAAAATCTAATACAAAATAAAATCTTAATAAACAATGTAAATAAATAATAAATCTTAATAAACAATGTTAATAAATATTTTGTTATGGACAATTGCAACATCATACATATCTGAGAATTGTTATTGTCCAGCTTGTCCAGCTGTAGCAATTATTTCTATAAATCTAAAAAAAAATTACTTCAAAAGTAATTAAGAAAGAAGAAAAAAAGGACTACTGCATAGTCCTTCCCTCTCAGGATTAATGCAGTGGTCACACAGTACAAATGGACTGCCATCGAAGAGAAAATATTTTGGAGCAATGTGATGGAATCAAACTCCTGTCCTGGGTCACTTCAAAACATTTCCTCATAGGCATATCATACTATTGTATCGTGATTTCCTTGTGCCATTAAACTGTAATAATTACCTGTGTGGTATTTATTTCTGGCGCAAGACCAGGTATTGATGTATTAGAGAATGCTTCGTCAATGGAGATATTGGAGTCATCACCGTTTAAAGCAGCCTGTGAAGTGAAAGAAAAAATGTTTAGTGCCAGGCACTTATTAATTGAATCATTTAAGACTTAATTTAAATAAAACATAAAATTATCCCTTATTTTAAGGGATAATTCTAGTAATGGATAAATAGTAATTGAGAAATTTATTTAATGGAGAATATAATTAATCAGAAGATGAAATATGTTACTAACAATGAGTAGAGTGAGTTTTGGTTACGTGCCATTGTGATTTTTAGTGACTGTGATGCTGATCAAGCTAGTAATGAGAATGTTGGCGATGGTGTTGAAAATATGGTGACGGTGTGAACATACAACACCAACTACGACACAAGGCTTTGTATTTTGTTATGTTTCTACATGCGCCCGACTTTGATGAATTCAGCAAAAACGTAAACTGCAAATCTGAGTTTACTGATAATACAGTATGAACATAACAGAAGACAATTACAGTACCTGAGTTGGAAGAGTTTCTGGGTCTAACTTGAGCTTTTTGTTTGACTCGGGACTGTTTCGACTTGGTGAATCGGGAAGTACTGGGTCGGATTTGCGCTTCTGTCCTATTTGTCGTGGTTGGCCTCCTTCTTCTGTTTTGGATTTGTATTTGTCCAAGATATCTTGTGATAGGTAGTGTGTCAGCTGTTTTCGTTTCACATACTTGCAGTTTACCTCCATGCCTTCCTTATAAGCCTTGTTATACGTACTTTGCTTATACACTGCAGAAGAAAATTTAAATTGTCAATAAATTTTATTAGTGCCTACTTTACTAGTACAGTATTTGAAAATGTAAAGAATAAACTGAAAAAATAAAATTAATAACTAGTTCTTTCTATTTGAAGAAATCTAATTAAATTTCAGGCACATGCCTGATGAAGCTAAATAGAACTTTAATGAACTATTACCATTACATTATCATACACCAACTGCTCCCCCACATAATCCTTAAACATCTGCATCTGCCTATTTGCGATCGAGTCACAAATGTAACTGTTTCTTATTGATGTAACCAACGTTACTTTAGCTCATTACGTCATCATTCATACTTGAATTTTGCTAAGATTTATGCAAATATATCCCAACAAAATTCTAATATTTATATTCACTTACCTACTTCGACGAACTTATTGATGTCGTTGGTGAGATCTATGTTTACATTTTCTGATTTGTTGAAGTCCACCCCTATGAACCAAGATGAGTGTGGTTTTTCCATATAATCACTGTCACGACAATTAAAGGTCGCAGGATTAATATGGACAGCTTTTATGGCAGCATTGTGTTCCAGAGTTGCAATTAGATGTCTAATTTTTGACTCGACAAGTCCATACCATTCAAGGTGGTCCTCTGCAGTTCGTGCAACAGCAATCACCACAAGGTAGTGCCTGCCAATATAATATTTTACAATTATGAGATCAACTATATTAATCAGTGGAAAAACTCAATTTTTTTCCCATACACCATGGGATCACTATCTTATACGTGGGTTAAACTGGACAGAGGTAAAGACTGTTTTAAGCTGAGCCATGGGAAAGACTGGGGGTCGGATACACTAAAAGAGGTTAATCCATCAAGAACCCGGTTACTGGTCGTAAGTGGCCGTAACAACAAGTTTATGTATAATTAGAGTTATATTTTATAAATGAAATAATTATAAATTCTCATAAGACACTATATAAACATACTTGTATTTTGTAAAAAAATTGGGTGGCTGAAAGAGTTTATCCTGGACTGGGGGGAAAGACTGGGGGTCGGATACACTAAAAGAGGTTAATCCATCAAGAACCCGGTTACTGGTCGTAAGTGGCCGTAACAACAAGTTTATGTATAATTAGAGTTATATTTTATAAATGAAATAATTATAAATTCTCATAAGACACTATATAAACATACTTGTATTTTGTAAAAAAATTGGGTGGCTGAAAGAGTTTATCCCACGTAGCCTTTCCAAGCATTATGTCCTCGGTAATCTGAAGACCCATCTTAAATTCCTCAACCATAACTGCCTTAGTTGACTGTGAAGTATTAAAAGTAGAATTCTGTTGGGGATAGGCTGGTGTGATGATTGGCATCAGGTGAAATCTGTCCTGGACGTTTACCCGTGGATCCCACACCTGACAACACAAAATTAACTTAGGTTAACATATTGATGTTTATATATTTGTAATTAAAGTATAGTATATTATATAATACTTCTTAACAAATAGCAAAATGAATGAACTAAAACCTAAAATGTTAGTTCAGTCAATTTAATTAACAGTTACAGTTAATATAATTACAAAATTTACAGTTATGAAATAATACAATACTGACCTTAAAACCAAGTTTGGCATCATAAGGTTGTTTGAGATATACTGGTGCTGGCCAAGTCCATTTTGAGAACACAAGGAAGAACTTTTCAACAAGTGTAGAGGCAGTAGCATTAGGATACAACTGACAGGTGCGAGCTACTAACATGGCCCATGAAACACCACCAAGATACCCAAGAACATTGCTGTATACACCATGACCTGTTGAGAAACAAAACAAAATGGCATAAAAAAATATTCAGATCACCTAACCAAATACAGTATATACCATTGAATATCCACAAATGTGAAAAGTTACAGAAATAAGATGCATTTTTATGAACAGTATATTAAAACCAGTATAACTACACCACCCGAGTTATAATTTACTAAAATATTTTCTCAAGAATTAGATATTACTATGATAATGTACTGTACTTACGTTTAGCCCATAACTTGATTGCCCTTAATGCCAAACGAAAGCTCTCTCTGTTTGGCACTTGGCGTAGTATTTCATCAGTCACCCGACACCCATTAAGACTCCGCACACATTTTTCATCTAGGTTTTTAAGAATGGTGTCGTCTTTTAGGTCCACCGAGTCAGGCACCTCCTTCAGCGCTAGCCGAGCAAACAGAAGATCAATCTCGATGCCTTCGTACTTCATCTTGATCACAGGCACAAAGGCCTCTTCGACTGCCTAAAATATTAAAAGATATGTCTCGTTAGCACAGTAATGTTTACTACAGTTCTGTATTAAGATTATTTGCTATTAATTTGTTCATGTATCAGTAAATAGGAACTTTTACCAAAACATCATACCCTATAAACAACTTGAATGTTAAGCTTGTCTTACATATATAAGGCTACTGGTTGATTTTTATATATATTTTACATTTTTACAACCTCTCATCTTAATCCTCGGAAACTTACCCGCATTTCTGTTACTTCCGACTGATCCTTCAAAAGATCATAAAAACTACCAAAGTAGTCGGATCGTTCAATGTGTCTGGGAGCGACGCACAACGCATCAATATCAGCACCACGACCAGCTACTCCGAGTCGATATGAACCAAATGTACATATCTTACCACCAACTGTATCTGCAATCTGGTGAAAATATAGTTAGAATCAGTATCAAAAGGAAAGGGAGAAAAAATTATATATACAGCATATGCATATACGTATTATGTAGTTTTGCAAATAATTATTAACATTTAATATAAAATCATAAAATAAGCCTTATGAACAGTAATTCTTAATTATTAATTGGTCAACAAAAGTAATTAAAGGCAAAAATAGTAGATTATGTAATACAGTACATGTATATTGCATAAACAAAATTTGACGACTGATGACATACCTGTGGTGGCATATTCTTTACGTTTATGCTTACATCTCTTATCCACTGTGTTACCATAGTATTTAACTTGCCCAAGACCTCAAATCTGAAATTTTTGAAAATAAATTAACATGAAAAAATGCCAAACAAACACATTACATTTATACATTGAAAATTCTAAGAGTCGAGTTAGTCCAATCTAGCGTTTGCACTGATCGCAATTACAGAAATAAGATTTTCATCATGTGTGATGAAAAACAGATTATACGATAGAAAAAGAGCTCATCTGAGATTCTGTTTGAGCAGTTAGATACAGTACTTTGTTACTTGATGATGTGCAAGTGTTTGGAACCCAAGTAAATATTGTTTTCAGGTGCTTATAGTAACTACTAAGGAGTTAGGTCAATTTTCCAAACATTTGCATTCTTTATTGTATCTACTCTTGAAACTGTGAATGAAAGCGACTCCACAACTTCCTATTTCAGTGTATTCTACTTAAAATTGAATTTAAATCTCCAGTTGCTTCTACCTATATATATTCTCTTATCCTGTTTTTATTCATTGAGGCTATCCTTGACACATACATTACTGTATGTGTCAAGTCTCCTCAGAACATTGTTGTGATCCAATTCCCTTTCCTCCTCCTCCTCCTTTCAGTAGATATTTTTTAGTCATCAGAACTAGTTATTGGGGATCAGTCCTGGGTTTCAGGTCCCCAGAAAGCAGTCTGCTGGCTGCTGTTTGGGGCTCATTATGGATAGTCTTCTGAAGATGTGCTGCTGTGAATTAGCTCAGGAACAAGCATAGCTCAGGGAGCTATCAATGGGGCGTTCCCCGAAAACTTTTCTTCCCAGCAGAAAAATCAAACTAGTCAAACAAAAGTTACAAAAACTAACCTGTGATTTAGCTCTGCATCTGTTTCAAACATTCCTGCATCTTGAAGGTATTCTTCTAGTTCCTTAGTGTGCTCTAGATCTGAGGGCTTGGGTTTGGCCAGACTGATCGCTGATGTCATTCCCAGTGTTTTACTGGTTTCCATCTTGTCTAAAAATATACAGTATATAATTAATATATATATACTTACTAGGCTATAGAACACAAAGCTCTAACCCTGTAAAAAAAAAATTGTAAACATTAAGAAAAAGATACTGCAAAATGAATTAACAGTAATGAATAAGTGCCAAATCGCTAAAACAAATGATCCAGCCAGTCCTCCTAAGGTTTACCAACGTCAAGAAACTGTCGTACTAAAGTGCTCTTATACTAAAGCAGAAAACGAGACCCATGTCAATTTCGGGAGCCACTTTCTAGTACAACAATTTTTGGGCTTAGGTAGAGTATACATCAAAATGTGATGATCTATTAGGAGGACAGTATTTGTGAAGACCAAGTTATGCATATTATCTCTTATTGGCTCAACTATCTCTTAGATGAGCTAAGCCACAAATTGTTGCTTAGCTAAATGTATTTTGACGATTCAGTTCCAGAGCATATGTATGTGTCTTTGTAATCTTTTCCACTACCACCCACAGATGGGTAAATACAGTATAATAAATGAGTATAATAAATACAGTATAATAAATGCTTGCTGGTCTAGGCTACTAACATTTAAGAATATAGTATCATTATCTAGTACAGTATTTTTGTACAGTATCTTACAGTATTTTATAGTACATGTATTGCATTTTTGTACAGTATTTAAAAAAAAAAAAACTTTGCATATCCAAATATCAGTGGCTTTACCTTCAATTATATTGTACTTACTTTTTTCAGATCAGTTTTAAATACAGTACAAATATTATCAGCCGAAATTTAAATGTTAAATAGACAAAGTAGTCTATACGTGTCAAATTACAAAAAGCTTCATTAAATGTAATGAAACACCTCTTTCTGGTGAAGTCCCTTTTTGCTCAGATTGCTACAAGATCACATCTGCATAAACTCAAGTGCCAGAATCTGGCACCCCTTGTATTTTTGGTCTCTGAACCACCAAAGTCAGGTCCCTACCAATTAAAAATGTAACCATGGCATTCCAAATAATCATAAGAACATAAGAACAAAGGTAACTGCAGAAGGCCTATTGGCCCATACGAGGCAGCTCCTATTTATAACCACCCAATCCCACTCATATACTTGTCCAACCCGTGCTTGAAACAATCGAGGGACCCCACCTCCACCACGTTACACGGCAATTGGTTCCACAAATCAACAACCCTGTTACTGAACCAGTATTTACCCAAGTCTTTCCTAAATCTAAACTTATCCAATTTATACCCATTGTTTCGTGTTCTGTCCTGTGTTGATACTTTTAATACCCTATTAATATCCCCCCGGTTATGTCCATTCATCCACTTGTAAACCTCTATCATGTCACCCCTAACTCTTCGCCTTTCCAGTGAATGCAACTTAAGCTTTGTTAATCTTTCTTCATATGAAAGATTTCTAATTTGGGGAATTAACTTAGTCATCCTACGCTGGACACGTTCAAGTGAATTTATATCCATTCTATAATATGGCGACCAAAACTGAACTGCATAATCTAAATGGGGCCTAACTAGAGCAAGATATAGCTTGAGAACCACACCAGGTGTCTTGTTACTAACGCTGCGATTAATAAATCCAAGTGTCCGATTTGCCTTATTACGAACATTTATGCATTGATCCTTTTGTTTTAAATTCTTACTAATCATAACTCCCAGATCCCTTTCGCAATCACAACACCATCTAGCTCGTATCTTGTAACTCTATCATCATTACCTAACCTCAGAACTTTACATTTATCAGCATTAAACTGCATCTGCCAATCCTTTGACCATTTCAAAACCCTATCTAGATCAACTTGAAGTGATAGTGAGTCCTCCTCCGAATTAATTTCCCTACCGATTTTCGTATCATCGGCAAATTTGCAAATGTTGCTACTCAAACCTGAATCTAAATCATTTATATATATTATAAACAACAGAGGTCCCAGGACAGAGCCTTGAGGCACTCCACTTACAACATTTTCCCACTCTGACTTGATTCCATTTATACTAACTCTCTGTTTCCTTTGGTATAGCCATGCCCTAATCCAGCTTAATATAGCACCCCCAATACCATGAGACTCTATCTTTTTAATCAGTCTTTCATGTGGCACTGTATCAAAAGCTTTGCTAAAGTCAAGGTATACAACATCGCAATCCTTACCACTATCAACTGCCTCATGCTACCTTTTCATTAATATTGTATCAGATTCCCAAGAATACTGTATTGGTTCCCAAGGAATGATTCATTGACTCGATTCTACAGATATCATCACTGAAATCCTACATATTGTAGGATTTCAGGATATTGCCAGGATAACCTAGGATATTGTCCTAGGTTTATATTTCCTAGGCAATATTTCTAGTCGCAATATACTGCCTATATATTATAGCCTTCCAGCGACTATAACTGGCAATGTAATCGCTGGGAGGACATTGAACAGTCGTGGACCTCTGATGTTTATTCAGTGTTCTCTGATTGTGCCTATGGCACCCTTGCTCTTCACTGGTTCTATTCTGCAACTTGGCTGATCAGAGACTTCCGCTGGATTTTGTCCAATCACTTATCGAAAGCATCAATCTTTGATCTATTTGGAGAAAGAAGGTCAATGCATCACAGGTCTCCGTTGTTCATACAGTATCTCTGGACTCTCACAGGACTGAACAACCGAGAACCAGGAACACATGTTTTTTTGAAGTGTTGCCTAACAGCAAGAATAGAACCAGTGAGTAATACAGGTGCCATAGGCACGATCAGAGAGCACTGTCCGGACATCAGGGGTACAGGGCTGTTCCTCCGTCCCAGCAAGCATTATAAATATTGCAGGAACAAACGTGAATGTATTCAAGAAATGCCGGACCAATCAGGTCCGTCTGTCGGACGTGACCTGAGGGCCGCTCCAAACAAAAGTAGCCTATAAGACCAAGTTATCACAAGTCGAAGCAAGCCTCAGACCAGTAAAAGAACTCCCAAGACCCTCTCCAGATATTCCCCAGGTAAGCAAGGAAGGAGGTAGTAAATAAAAACCATAAAATACTTGGGTAGACTGTACTTGCAGAATTCCTTTACAAATGAATAATATATCATGTTGACCAATCCACACACTAGAAAATTAAGGGACAATGACATTTCGGTCCGTCCTGGTCCATTCTCAAGTTTATTGTGACTTGAGAATGGTCACAATAGTCACAATCAACTTGAGAATGGTCCAGGACGGACCGAAACGTTGTTGTCCCTTCATTTTATAGTGTGGATTGGTCAACATATTTCAGCCACGTTACTGTGACTTATCATCTGCAATAATATATCACACTATTCGCAGACCGGCATCAGGAGTGCCCATACACTTGAACTTTGTCCGGCACCTTCTACTTTGCATCACACCACAATAAACACGATAACTATTAGGCAATGTGAATGTCAATATCCTAGCCTTAAGCATTGGTAAACTGGTGACGGTAGACTTTACCTTACCATCTATGTTTAAAATGCACAATAAGAGATTAGGTGAGGCAGATCTACTTCCTAGCAGCAGCCTATATTGCTGGAATCTGCTCCATATAGGAATTATCAAAATAATGTTCAGAGGAAATTGTCAAAATAATGTGGGATAGGAATTTATCAAAATAATGTGCAATTCTGAAGGAACAATTAAATTGTATCTATATGTTGTACACCATCCCAAGGTCCTGTATAAGGTCAAGGTATCACTTTTCACATCACCCTCAAGCAAGTTAAATTCCGACTCGTAATTATGGTACCAACCATAATTACACGTTACATATAAATTAAATATAATTTAGTTGCAGCTATAAATGAGATAACTGCCATTCACATAAGGTTATAGAGCACAAATATTGTTTCCTGTCAATAGACAGCTGGAGGAAAATTAGCCAATATGGCCTGAATGTAAGGTAAGCATATAAACGTTAAACACCCAACTACCTGTACTTGCCCTGTGACAGATCCAGAATGGTGGAGAAAGTGACCCTCGGCTTCAGATTACTAGATCTTGACGAAGCAGCCGATCATCACCCTCAACCGACCATTTGGAAAGGTCTGTCCACGAGGTCAACTCTCACCTTCCACCCTTCAACACTCATATATTCGGCAAGTATTTGTATGTTGGACCTTGTCAGGTGCAAAAGTTAGCCTCCATTTAGACTTGACCGCCCTCAGCACTCACGTCTCGGGGCGCCCATGTTTCTACACAGCAGGCAAACACCGTCTTGTGCTGCTTACGCTATACAATATTACTACATCACTCTTGGTCACAAGGGGTGCAACTAATGCCCAAGATGGTTCTGTGCTACTCCAACAGGTTAGTCCAGAGGGTAAGAAATTGGTACTTGAACAATGTTCAGCTTTCCCCCAGCAGCAGCCCGGAGCCTCACTTGGTTATTGATACACAACTGCACCAATACTCAACATGGCGGAGAATGACACCCTCCACCTCCTCGTACACGCACTCCTCAACCCAAATACCCTTTCTCCTCACCCGAAACACTTAAACAGAAGCCAAGTCAACTTAAAATAAGGGTGAGAGAGGCCCCCAACGGTACGTAGTAAACAAAGCGGACTATCGCATAACAACAAACATGGCGGCTCACAAGACTTCCGGTGACGTCACAAGGACTCCGTTTTCTGTGGTGCTCCATTGTTGTCCACGCCGTAGCCTATTTACCCTTAATAATGACCCACTAATTATATTATTATAAACTAAAACATCTAATAAAATAAGAAGCCACTGGGTGAGCCAAGGGTAACCAAGTCATTTGAGTTACAGGATCATACTAATTCTGGGTGAATCAACCACGTCTAATAGATCTAAGAATAAACAATACCCCAAATAATAATGACCCACTAATTATATTATTATAAACTAAAACATCTAATAAAATAAGAAGCCACTGGGTGAGCCAAGGGTAACCAAGTCATTTGAGTTACAGTATCACACTAATTCTGGGTGAATCAACCACGTCTAATAGATCTAAGAATAAACAATACCCCAAATTGACCTAGCAGGTTATCTTGAGATGATTTCGGGGCTTAATGTCCCCGCGGCCCGGTCTTCGACCAGTCCTCCTTTTTGTTACACATCCCCAGAAAGCAGCCCATAGCAGCTGTCTAACTCCCAGCTAGGTACCTATTTACTGCTATGTAACAGGGGCATCAGGGTGAAAGAAACTCTGCCCATTTAATTGTTTCCGCTTCCACAGAGGATCGAGCCCGGAACCTCACGACTACGAATCCGAAGCGCTGACCACCCAGCTTCCTCCTATAAGGTGCATACTCGGTTCCACGTAAAGAATTGTTGCTTTAATTGGCATAACATTTTTGTTCAAAATCGTAAAGCTATTCTCTCAAACCCACTATGCGTGTTAGTGGCTTTGCAAGAATGTAACACAGTATTACCAATATATGTACTTAGTATCTTTTTGTATAAATATAAATGTATATACTCTGCCTCAGACGCTATGTTACACACTAATCAACAATTAGAGCATAAAAAAATAAAATAATTAGAAAACATCGCAGCCTGATTAGAAAATAATTAGAAAACATCGCAGCCTGATTAGAAAATAATTAGAAAACATCTAATTCACTAAGCAAGAGTGGTTGGTAGGGAGCGAAACGAGAAATTTGGTTACCTGAGGCGACAACAACTGTCATCTTGTTGAAGGTTCCCTCATTTGTCCTGAGGATTTTTTCTAACTGGATTTTGAAATTCAGCAACGTTTAGGCACTTAATCTTCGGCGGGTAAGCGCTTCCATGAGTATACAAATCTACCGATGAAAAAGCATCTCCTGTTTTCCGTTCTGCATTGTGCCTTGTTGAGTTTGAAACCTTAGATTGGTTTATATCTAAATTTCTGAAAAAGTTGCTTAGGCTCTGCGAGTCACATGCTGATTTTTTAAGTGGTAATTCTTCAATGATTATCTTTAGACTCGATTCTTCCCATGGAGGAGGCTGCCTAAAGTGTTGATATGGTCTATTTTCTCCTATGTCCGTTCCAAGTTCACTTTCTATAGAAACTTTTGTAACAAATCCACAAGGTTCGTGATGAGGGTTCGCACGGGGATGTTAGTCCCTTGTGGATTTGTTCATTTGATATATCACGTTATTGTGATTTATGTATTGAAGTAAAGGGCGTAGAGGTAGAACATTTGGTTGACGGAGCCCGGGTGCATGGGGGAATTATGTGAAACCCCGATTGGGCTTCCAGATCCTAGTGAGGACTCCAGGTTGCAATACTTTTACCAAGACAGGACCACACATCAGAAAAGAAGAAAGGACGTGTCGGTCCGTCCAGGAAACGGCCCGTTCCGTGGCCAGGAAACGGAACGTCACTTGATATATGTCAGGGCAAATGAGGGCTTCCTTCGCCGACTTCTTGACCTCATCGAGGACTAATGACACAAGTATTGGAAATTACCTCATTGTTTACCCGAGGTAACTAAAGGTAAATAATGATCCATGACGGAGCGAAACGACGTTGTTTCTCGATTTTCCTATGTGTGGTTTGGTCATTGAATTGAAGAGGAATACAGGTGAAGGACGGGAGTCACCTGTAGTGATTATATACGGATCGACAGTTACAGCCCCGCTCCTGTGCCAGGTAAGTCCACAACGGGCTCACCATAGCCCGTGCTACATGGACACTTTGTTCTGAGTAGCTAAATCTAAAACAACAAGAACAATCATTCATACATCCAAGAACATCTAAATTAATAAATGGACATGTGTCCAACGTTAACCATTACTTACTCAGTTCTTCGTGTGTGGTTCAGGTGCACTGTAGCTCACTCTTTCTTCCTTAAACAACTTAACGTCAAAGCACGGTATTTGAAAAGTCTGTTTACGAATATCTTAATTTATGTTAGAGATCACTTGCGAGATCAGACGTGTCGCTTGTGTGGCCCGAACACCCAAGTGCCTAGAATTTATACTAAAGTGTTACACCTCACTAATGCTCTGTGTGTGTTACCACAATGTTGCTACTCAGTCACCAACGTGTACTCCCACACCCATTGTATCGTCATAAATACAAGATCATATAAGATGTATATTATTCTTATAATTTATTAAGAATATAAGAACAAAGGTAACTGCCGAAGGCTTATTGGCCCATACGAGGCAGTTCATATTTATAACCACCCAATCCCAATCATGTATGTCCAACCCACGTTTGAAACAATCGAGGGACCCCACCTCCACCGCGTTATTTGTGGTAATTGGTTCCACAAATCAACAACCCTGTTACCGAACCAGTATTTACCCGAGTCTTTACTAAATCTAAACTTATTCAATTTATACCCATTGTTTCGTGTTCAGGGTTGTTGATTTGTGGGAATCAATTACCGCGTAAAGTGGTGGAGGTGGGGTCCCTCGATTGTTTCAAACGCGGGTTGGACAAGTATATGAGTGGGATTGGATGGTTATAGATAGGAGCTGCCTCGTATAAACTTCTCTCTCTCTTGCACAAAACATTCTGTCTAAATACCTCACCTGGGAATCTCCCACAACCAAAATTCGCTTAGGTACCTCCTTAATTTTCTAAGCACTCTGAGGGGCCTGTGCTTTGTTGCTCTTCATTGATTTCCCTTTTGAGTGAACTGCAGGCTCACCACAGCACTCGTCTTCCAACTTGGCAAAAGAATTTGATGTCCTTAGGGCGTCTGAAGGCGGCCTTGTCAAGGTCTTCTTAAGACTCCTGTCATTAACGACTTTCCACGAGTTTTTTTTAATATTAAGAACATAAGAACAAAGGTAACTGCAGAAGGCCTATTGGCCCATACGAGGCAGCTCCTATCTATAACCACCCAATCCCACTCATATACTTGTCCACCCACGTTTGAAACAATCGAGGGTTGTTTCAAAAATACCCCACTTTCACCACGTTACTCGGTAATTGGTTCCACAAATCAACAACCCTGTTACTGAACCAGTATTTACCCAAGTCTTTCCTAAATCTAAACTTATCCAATTTATACCCATTGTTTCGTGTTCTGTCTTGTGTTGATATTTTTAATACCCTATTAATATCCCACCTGTTATGTCCATTCATCCACTTGTAAACCTTTATCATGTCACCCCTAACTCTTCGCCTTTCCAGCGAATGCAACTTAAGCTTTGTTAATCTTTCTTCATATGAAAGATTTCTAATTTGGGGAATTAACTTAGTCATCCTACGTTGGACACGTTCAAGTGAATTTATATCCATTCTATAATACGGCGACCAAAACTGAACTGCATAATCTAAATGGGGCCTACCAGAGGCCACATGAAAAAAATAAAAGATGAGAGAAATATTGTAGGTATATTGAAGCTTATAGGTAGCTCAGAATGATTGCAATGACAGCTTGAATGGTAGTTTAACAAAACTTAGCAGGCACAATACAGCATATGGCTAGCACATAAAAGAATATGAAGAAAGATTAACAAAGCTTAAATTGCATTCACTGGAAAGGCTAAGAGTTAGGGGTGACATGATAGAGGTTTACAAGTGGGTGAATGGACATAACAAAGGGGATATTAATAGGGTATTAAAAGTATCAAGTCTTTCCTAAATCTAAACTTATCCAATTTATACCCATTGTTTCGTGTTCTGTCTTGTGTTGATACTTTTAATATTGGTCTCCTCCTTCGTTTCTTCTCGATGTTTCAGCTGTCGTACCTCCTCCCGTAGGGAATCCATCTCTGCTCTCAGAGTTCCAACTAGATCCATCAGTTCCTTCACTAATCCTTCCATTATTGCTGTAATAATATTATTACTACAATCGGAGCTCCAGTTAACTCTCAAAGGGGGAAAGGGGCGCCATCTAACATAACAAAGGGGGATATTAATAGGGTATTAAAAGTATCCTTACCTTGAGGTTACCTTGAGGTGCTTCCGGGGCTTAGCGTCCCCGCGGCCCGGTCGTCGACCAGGCCTCCTGGTTGCCGGACTGATCAACCAGGCTGTTGGACGCGGCTGCTCGCAGCCTGACGTATGAGTCACAGCCTGGTTGATCAGGTATCCTTTGGAGGTGCTTATAAGAACATAAGAACAAAGGTTTCAAGCGCGGGTTGGACAAGTATATGAGTGGGATTGGGTGGTTATAGAATAGGAGCTGCTTCGTATGGGCCAATAGGCCTTCTGCAGTAACCTATGTTCTTATGTAACTGCAGAAGGCCTATTGGCCCATACGAGGCAGCTCCTATTCTATAACCACCCAATCCCACTCATATACTTGTCCAACCCGCGCTGGAAACAATCGAGGGACACCACCTCCACCACGTTACGCGGCAATTGGTTCCACAAATCAACAACCCTGTTACTGAGCCAGTATTTACCCAAGTCTTTTCTAAATCTAAACTTATCCAATTTATACCCATTGTTTCGTGTTCTGTCTTGTGTTGATATTTTTAATACCCTATTAATATCCCCCCTGTTATGTCCCTTCATCCACTTGTAAACCTCTATCATGTCACCCCTAACTCTTCGCCTTTCCAGTGAATGCAACTTAAGCTTTGTTAATCTTTCTTCATATGAAAGATTTCTAATTTGGGGAATTAACTTAGTCATCCTACGTTGGACACGTTCAAGTGAATTTATA